TAAAAGAATGCAGATAATTTTAAATTAAGAGCAGTGAATGTCTAAAAATTAAGAAAAAATTTGACCTTGCCTCAATTGTTTGCCCTTTTCCTACTAGAAATCAAAGCTCCAGAGCAGAGAGTGTACTCACTGAACAAACAGCACTCTCATTGATAAGTCACAGAGAGAGCAAGTAAGGGACGGATCGGAGCCTCTACAGTGGAGTAAATGCACTGCAGGAGCATGGTGTAAACACACAGCTCTCACTTGATAACCTGTACACCCGACCTAGCTCAATGCCACATGAGCTTCATGAGTGAGTAACATTTTCTATGATTCTGTATGAAAGCCCCTTTCAGACTTGATCTACAGTCCCTAAAGTCAGAAAACACACCATATCGAAAATGGTAATGCCAGTAATCACAACTAAACAGTACTTGGCAGAGAATGTAGCATGCAGACAGATTTTGGAGAGCTCCTCTCAACACAGTTGTAAGGCAGACACCTAAAAGCATAATATCATTGAAAGACAAGCAAAACCATGGCAAAGATCTGGTATTTTTATGCCATTGCACTTAATAACAAGTGTCATGATATAGGCAAGTTACATAACTTTTCTTGGTCTTGGTTATAGTATCATACAAATTAAATGATTCTCCTTTAACTCTTAGGCGTATTATTGTGAAGCTACTCTTGATTTACTTAAGCTTCCTCCAGGACAAAATCACAAAGCAGAAACTAAGAGTCATGCAAATGGCTATCGTTTATTCAGTGCTATTACCACTATCACAAAATCTTTATTTCTAGTCTCACTTATTATTCCAGGCAGATCCATGGCATTGGGATTAGCGAAAGTAAAGTTCCCTTGATGGTTAGTCTTAGGAACTTAGTTTGTATCAATGAAGTAAACACTAGACAGAGACCAGGGACATAGAGTGCAAGTTCCAGTTATATCTTTTTACTAATAGGTGGACTCACAGGTGTCTGATTTATGAGAGAGAGAGAGAGGGAGAGATTGAATTTATTGGCATTGGCATTGCATTTCCTGTCAGATTTTATATTCCATTTTTGCTGATTTCGTTGCCACTTTTGTTCTCAACTCCAACCCCATTCTTGTTAACACTGCCCCTTTCTCTTTTCCTAACCTCCCGTCAACAAGATATGTTCAATATTCATCACTCATAACCAATGCAATCAAATAATTTGCAGATTAGTCTGAATGAATCACATCATAGTCTATAGTTCTATAAGAATAGCTGTCCACCCTTAGCAGATAAGGCTTTGACGTTTTCTACAAATTGCAGAAATACCTACAAGTTTGTGAAATGGTATGGGATGCTAGAACATAGATTTATGTTTCCATTCTTGAAAATGGTTAAATTCTTAGAAAATCATTACATATATAATGTAAGTTTTATAATATTAAGACAGAAGATATGTTATTTTCTTTGCTATTTATATCAAATTATATATTTTGAAGTCTCCACTCCTCCCACAAAGTCATCAAGGCATCTCATTTTTTGTGTGTTAAAAATCTAGAGTACAGACCTTAGTCTAGATGCATAATGTGTATCCTCAGTTGATGGCCATTTCTAAACTCTGGCCATATTGAAAGCTGCCCAACACAGATCTACTGATGAAGCAGATTTAGCCTTCACAAAAAATGTCCCTCTCCAAGGAGCTCATCACAAAACACGACATTTCCTCCCTGACCTTCGTCACAGTGTCTAGAAAGAAAACGCCACCTTGAGATCCTGTCCCTTTTGCTTTATCTCCTCACAGCAGCCCCTCTATTCTGTCCTCATTCCACAGCATGGGAATGAAACTCAAAAGCATTCTCACGGATAGACTTTTGTGAAGTGTTGGGGTGGCTCAAATTCTTGCAGTAGAGTGCCTTCCTGACATAACTCACAGTGCTAGACTCAAAAAAAATTCTATATTTGTTTTCAATGTTGAGGAAGGAAAGGGATAGAAACTTGGTATCCATCACAAAGGAGTAAGCCCAGAAACAAAGGCCATAGTCCTCTTCCAGAGGGGCATGGATCTCCCTCCTCCTTCCATGCACATTTGCAGGACACAGACTTCATATCCAGGGCAACGCACAAAGGAATCGACTACCTGGCAGCCAACCTCAGTGCCCCACTCTGCCTTCATGTACCTGCCCAGCCACCTGTGGGCCGGGTTGTTTTCCCAACAGGCAAAATCTCCATTTGCTTGGAAAGTAACATAATTCATTATATTGTGGAACTTAGCCTGCCTCCTCTTCCGATGGAATTGTTCATTAAACAACGCCTCTCACTGCCAAATTAGTTAATTTTTAAGGGAGTTATAGAGGAAGGAGGAGTCAGGAGATCCAGACCTGCCATCCTGCCTCTGCTGCAGCCATTCCCCTGCCCTCCCCTCATGCTCCCCTCTGTGCTGGTACCTTAGCATGGCCGTCCCAAGCCGTGTGGGGGTGTGGGGGAAAGAAGAGAGAGAGTCCTCATTCCCTGACCAGTTGAAGAGGGCTCAAGGATATTTCAAAAGGGAAAACTAAATTTAAGTCCTCCTTGCAAAGATGATGAGTTTCAGCAGGGGCTTTAATATATGACGTTATTTCAGGGGATACTCATGAGCTGCCTTGAGACTAACCAGGATTCTCTATGATAAATTTCATTTCTCTTTTTAATAAATGTGAAATTCCCCTTCAAAGCAGAATGCAATTATATTCCGGAGGCTACTTTTGTTTTGCATCCGTGCAACCTTGGCTGTGGAACACTTTAGACTAGAAATAGAAATGATCCTGTTTTCCAAGTCGCGGTTATCCTGCACGCTTGTCAATACGCGGTGGTCCAGGGTGATACCTCATGTGCAGAGAGATGGAGAGACACCAGTCTCAAGAATCAGATAGCTCAGAGCTGACAGTTTAATGCAATATTGAAGAAGAGAGAGCTCATCAGACGAGATGTACTCTGTAACAGCCCCGCTCAATATTAAAAAAAAGAAAAGGATAGTTCATCATATAGAAGAGTGTCGAGAGAGTTGTCTGTAGTTAGATGGAGGTGAACCGAGGGGTAGGCCAGCAGATTTCAGCTTTAAAATATGAAACAACTTTTGTGGTTTTCCCTTTAAATATAGATTTCAAACTGGTTTAAACAAGATTTCAAGTGTGGGAGGAAAAGCCACTGCCTCCTGCTCAGTATTTCTGGATGGATTAATCTTCTCAGTCATTTCGTAGATGGAATTCTTCTCACAGGGCACTGATAAAACTGGTCTAAGTGGTGTGCAATACAAAAAAGGGAGACCGCCTATACTTGGTGGGGTGACCAAATCTTATTGCAATTAAAAATAGAGTAAATCTAAAAGTATAAAAATTTTTTTAAATGACACTGTCTCACTTGCATTAATCCTTTGTACTCAGTTTAGTTGGTCACATTTGGGTTTATCACATGGAGAGAAACAAAATTTAAGACATAACCCAGAGCAGGTACTTTTCAGTCTCATTTGCTTCAAGATAAAAATCTCATAGGAAGTGTGTGCTGAGAATAGTCCATTTAAGGACAGGAGCACGGCGACCTGTCTTCTTCATCATTTCCTCTTTCGAGACAGTCCTTTGTTCCTTTAACTAGGAGTTGGGCCTGTGCTGTTGCTGTATTTTGCTTTGTGGTAAATTCTGGTCTCTCTGAGAGTCACGAATTATCTTGGGCAAGTGAGAGAACTGAATTGTTCCTTTCTGCAGTTAGCTGATATGACGGCTGATATCTGGTGGCGGTATGTAAAATCCCATGTTCATTCAACATTGTTAAATCTCAGCATTTCAAATTAGATTTATAAGCCCATTTTTCTTATCTTCTGCGTCTATTCTTTCGAACAATCATGTATTTATAAGACCCAGCATGCTCACACATATGTGTGTGTGCATGTGTGTGTGTGTGTGTGTGTGTGTGTGTGTGTGAGAGAGAGAGAGAGAGAGAGAGAGAGAGAGAGAGAGAATATATCAGGGCATAAGTCCTAACTGTTATTCACCTGGATTCATTCCTTGGGCTGGTATTGGCAGAATCCTCTGCAGTAGTTGGGAGAAGTCAATACACGTAAACCTTGATATTATACAGCTTGGATCCTCATCAATAATGTATCCCTCCCTTTCCTAGAGTCTAAGCTTTCAAGGTCAGGGGCTTTTCCTCCCACTACATAACACATGTGTGAGTTCTAAACTTGTTTGTTGACTTGGAAAGGTGCTCTCTGGAACAGAATACACAATTTCCAGAAGTGTCCACATACAATTCATTCTGCACGCTTCCTTCCCCCCAACAGATGTTTTGATAGGTTAAATAACTAACTCTTTTCTAAAATCTGGCAGCTTAAAAATGAGAACTGAGAATGTTTACTGGGGCTGGTATCATATTTTTGGAAACGACGCTCAAGCTGTTCCTGAGAGTTTTCCTTCAAAACCTTCACAAACTCTTGGTGGAAGGCAGCTGGTCTTTGAAAACTCCTCTCAGAAGTGGCTGGAAACTCCCAGCTCCTGGAGACACAGCCGGCCCTTTTGCAGCATGAATGACAAGGGGGCAGACATTCCAGCGTTTTTCAGCCCCAAGATTTACAGAGAAGCCAGAGCCCTTTGAGCAAGAACCCACAAGGTCAGTCCCCACTTCAAGTCCCATATTGGAGGTACAGAATTTAGGAGGGAAACATACTTCTAACAGGAGAGCGAGATCTCAACGGCCTCGAGGCTTCAGCTCCACACCGTATTTCAGTACCATAGACTCTCATCAAAAAAGTTACCGGGTTACTTAAAATTGTTCTATTTTACTCCGAGTTCAATATCTGTAGTTTTGGGCTTAACATAACTCAGAGCAAGATGCTTGGGGAAATGTCTTGAGCAAATTCATAAGAATAAGAAAAACTGGCTTCTGACAGATTTACTGACAGACTATAAAAAAGGCCACCGAAGGAGCCAGCCATTCTGACAGGATTTGATGCGGGAGTAGAGGGGGTCAGAATTTTGAAAGGTTCATGAAAAGCCAAATTCTTACCTTCTCGTCTTCACCACAGCCTCTGAGTGCCTGTTCATAACTGGGATAATCCACGAGACTGAGATTTCAGGCAAATAGTGGATTCTGCAGAAACTGCAAGTTCCCCCATTTAAGAGAATACAAAAAAAAAAAAAACAAAACACACAAATAAGTAAGTTGTGATGACATGTTATAATGTAAAGGTTTTCTAGAATATTTCATTAATTTTATTTCAGGGGAGAGCAGAAACACAGTCCCCCATTACTACAAAGAAGGCAGTTGAGTTTCCCCACATTTGGGGAAATAGCAGGGGTCAACAAGTCTTAGAGCAATGGGGGAGCCTCGCTCTGGGAGAGTGGCCTTCTCATCAAAGTGCCCCCCCCATCAGGCAGGTTTTTGTTTCTTCCTTTAAGAAAATAGTGCTGACTGCTGGAAATATATAAAGCAATAGAATCTCGAGACATATACTTCCCACCTCCCAGTGAGCTAAAGAAGTAAATGTTCTTTTTTTATGCCATGCTTCAGACATTCTTTTTTTAAAAAAGATTTGTTTTTTATTTATTTATGCATACAAGAACTGGGGTGTAGGCTACAGGTGTAGAGGGGCGATGAGAGGATTCACCAGAGACAGAGTGGGGAGCAGAACAGGCAGACTGACTGAAATCCACTGCTGAGGGGAGCAGCAGGGAGACAGGAGAGGTCTGCTGCACCGCGTGGGTCAGCTCCTTGGCCAGGGATGAAACTCGTGCCCCAGTGGCTGGCGATAGCTTGATAGCTGAGACTTTTACCTCTGTGCCACCAGGGAGGCCCCGATGTTCTTAACATCTTAATATTTTTCAAACAATGTGACAGATAGGATTGTGTGTGGCATTTTCATTATAAAACACTACTCATTACAAAGATGTTGCATTTTTGTTCTATATTTTTGTCCCATTCCAACCATAGCCCTTTTACGTTAATGGATATTGAGGGTCTGATATCAGGGCACCTTCCACAACTTTTATCCCGAACATACACTTCCATTCATGCATATATACCAATACAACTGTATCACCTTATGTATAATAAGACTTTTCTCTATATGTTTCCCCATCACTTTTTTCCACTGAACAATACTATACTTTAGCTGTACACATATTTACTCAATTATTGACGTCAATTATTATTTCTTTTTATTGTCAATGAAACCAAATATGCATTGACTTCCATACTAATGCCTTTAATTCTATAGCATAAATTTCAATAAACTAAATTAGGGCATAATTAAATAATAACAATGTAATATTCTAGTCTGAAAATCGTTTGTATGATCTTATTCTTTCTTAAGAATATATGTCAGATCACCCACACTCTTGATAGAATTAAGTAATCATGTAAAGTTAAAAGTTTTCACTTTTAAAAGCACAAATACATGTGCAGATGTATCCTTATATATGTCAAAAATTAGTCATATTAAGAGACAACACTAGCTTAAGTATTCAATAATGATTATATTAAGCTACATATACAGTTTGGTTGAAAATATTAGTTGCTTTATGTAGAAAACCTTATTGTGTGGTTCTTTTTAAAGTAATGTATAAAGGTCAGGATGAAAGATGAGAGTAGATATTCTGCTTGACACTGCCTGAACGGCTGAGACTGATTTCTTTACGTATCATTTTATGTCCAATGTAACATGACTATTTCTCGAAAACTACTTGAAATCATCAGTGTCAGAAATAATGCCCCTTTGGTCCTTTTGCCAATTTGTTTATACAAAAATTTCCATTAAACCTCTTGTAAGCGTCTTCATACTTTTAAAAACATTCTCAAAGTTACTTCTAAATGCTTTTATTAAATTGCTAATAGAGTAAAATACTCCTACAGAGGGCAAGTGGGCTCTTATTCCATAGGACACACAAAAAATAACCTCCTCCTGTCCTGAGAAGGCGTTTTTCACTCTTTACCTGGTGACTGGCATAATAAACGCACGACCTTTATAAATGTTATATTGCTAGCAACAGTTAACCTTTCCTGTGTCTGGCAGAAACCATGCTGGCTGTTCATCAAGTCACATCTTCCATTTGGATACAGGCTCTATTCCCAAATTCCCAAATGTCCCTTGTAATTAGAGCTGGGTTATGTGAAATGCTCTTGCGCTGGATTGTGGGCACAAGCAATGCAATAAGGTAAGCTGCATCTCAGTCCAGCGATTTAAACACCTGCCAGGCCTCCCTCTTCTGCGCTACCCGGCTCAGAGCTGCACAGGCATAAGAAAGAGGACTGTGCCTCCTATGTGGGCCAGAACACGGCTGAAAATGAACTTTCATGCATTAATTTGCTGAGATTAGGATCTTAGAAATGACCTTAGGGAGACCTATCTGCTCTGAATAACATACTTGGTTTGGAATATCTCCCTGTGTCTAACTCATGTTTATCTCCAGAGTCATTAAACAGTATCAGACCATGAAGTGCACAAAATCCTGAGTGAGTGCCTACCGTGTGGTAACTGCCACCTCACACTTTCCTCTCCTGATAATCTGGCATCATTGTCACTTTTTTAAATATCCATTTTTGTTTTCATTTTCCCACTTTCACCACTGCGAGGACAGGCTTGCTCTTTTTCACCTGCTCTGTGTGTCCTACCCGTTTGCCTCTACCACTCTGATTATTCTATAGTAGGAGATGGGTGAAGGGACTCATAAAAATAAAAACCCAATTTAGTCAAACAAAACGAAAATAGAACACTTCTCCTGGGAATCTTACTGGAAATCTAACTGTGGTGCTCCACTTGGGGGGCAGGAGGGGACAGTCTGAAAACCTCATCGTACAGTCATGCATTTTACTCATCACACTCATCACTTTTGATCTAATCTGACCATATTCCATGAGGACAGGGGTTGTATTAAGTGTGCATATTACTATAGTCAATGCCTGACCAACAATAGGTTCTCAATAAAAATGAATTGATTCAAGAACAGATTTTCATTTGCAATGAGCACCAGTACCTGGTGTTGTGTCATTTTCTTTCTATCTAATGATTCCAGATACATATCACTTCACAAAGCTCCCCCGTATGAGGGAACGGACACTTTTCCTTCCTTGTAACAACTTGCAGCATTAAGCTTCTGTATTTTTCTATAGCAACTCTAGTTTTGATTATAATGACACATTAAGATGACCATACACTGTAGTCATGTTTCAAGGAGAACAGAGAAATGAAAACAGGGAACATACACACGATTATGATGGGATTCAGCAGGGCGTTAGGGGCTGGAGGACAAGTTCTGCAAAGAAGGTATGCAAAAACCCATCTAGGCTTTTCAGACTACTCAGAGTAGGCAACCTTGTAAGATAATTCTATGGTAAATTAACAACTTAGAGAGGCCCTTTAGCCACACGGACTAACCAGTAGAGTAGGGACAAAGAACAAAGCAAAATACTATTTTTCAAAGTGGTCCTAAGAAGTCCTTCCTGAGGCTTCTGGGCACTACAGCCACAGACCAACTTTCACCATAACAGGGAACTTAAGTCTTGTCTGCTCTGAGGATTTCTCGGGCTGCTTAACTAAGTGCAATCCCACAAAGCCTGTGGTCTGTTCTCTGGATTCAGAGCAAGTGACAGTTGTTCCTAAAGTTTGCCATTGACTTCAATAGTCTTAATCCTCAGAACTTAATTTCAGTCCTGGTTTTCCATAACCAACTGTATTATACCTGAGTCATATGCAACTGAAATCATACCTGCAGCTATAACTTTTGCTTAAAAACAAAGTAGGTTTTGTTAGATTTATTGTGCTTGAGTTGTTATCAATAGTCTATAAATCTTAAGATATAAACCACAGACATTTGGATGGATTTCATTACAAATAAACTTATATATCACTGAGAACACATTCGGGAAATTGTCTTGTCATCACAGAGTATTTAGATCCCTCCAAGGAGAGATTCATAGATTGAAGATGCTCTGGTTTGACATAGTGTGACAAAATGCCGTGGTTATACAATATTCTCAGTGACTGTGAAATCCAGAAAAGCTGAACCTCTGACAGAGTTCAGCACCACATCCAAAATAATCACAACATAAAGATACAAAAATAAAAGATGCATACAACAACCAGAAGATGTCATCAAATGCATTATCTCTTTCTTACTGTATTGTTATAAATGTACTAGGTAATAACAGATAGAAAAAGACAGCACTAGCTCCTTTGTAGAGGAATAGGATTTCCTATTACTAACAAGTATAGGAAATTAAAAGAAATCAACTGATAAAAGTCATAAAAGTGGATTGTCATAGAAAAATAAGCACAATAGTTTTGAACACTGCAAAATAAAAGGACTCTACAAAATATTCTACTATCATACCAAGTCCAGGCTGCCTTCAGCGTCAGCTCTTCCTGAAAGAACAGGTGACTCAGAATGTGGGAGGAGGGAATCGAACATAGATCTATCTGCTGAAATACTGAATCAAAAAGTAATGCTAAGTCTAAGATATTAAGACCATAGTGAAATCTGAGACTGTAATAATCAAGGGCAAGAGACAAGACAAATGTTAGTACATAGAGTGGAAGGAGAGGAAAATAAGAGAGGGGATATGTGGGTTGCTTGGAGGTAGAGGCTGATTTCAAAGAAAAAGCATTTTGAGTATAAAGACCTCCATTTACTACTCTATGATATAGAAGAAATCAATCAATAAGCCTTCCTTTTCTGATCTGTGAAATGGAGACCGTGTTACATACCTTATTGGACTTGGTGAAAGTTAGCATGATTCTTTAGCTACTCAGTCTGTGGAACTATTGTTAAGTGCAGGACTGCATTCATCAAAACATATTCATAAAGGTCTGTACTATTCCACTCTGTATGTAATAAGCTTGGAAGTCACCTCTCCATCCTAACAACAGGTAAAGCAGAACAAACCGAAAGCAATGTATCTTGTTCAATCCTTTAGGGGAGTGAGGCCACAGAGGAACTACACATCCAACACTGACATTTGATAGGCAACCACAGAAAACAGTGATTTACTGGAGGAGAAACCCACCAGCAGACAACTAGACTGTTACTTTTTAATTATTGGAAGTTCGATGAGTATGACCCTAAGAGTTAAAACTCCAGGGGGACTCAGTCGTGGAGGGCCGC